TGTGACATGTTGACCCCTACCTCCCCAGCGGCACGTAGCGGTAACGTAGCGCTCGTGTAAGAGGCGCGTCATCACCCCGCCACTCTCCCCGCGGTGACGTCACGAGCGGAGCCGATGTTAGCCGAGTCCCCGCATCCTGGTAGTTATGCAACGTGCGGTGACGCCACGGTGACGCGGAACCGCTTCCTACTGTGACGTGGCACGCAACAGGCACCACTGCGGCTATATAAGGGAACTGCACAGCAACTACAAGTCAGTTGTACTGCGACAGCCGCCGAGTTATAAAGTAACAGTCGCCAAATCAAGTTGGAGTATAGCAGCCGTCGCGGAAAGAAGAACCGGACGTGTGTGTGATTGTGTAATTGGGAGCGCGTGATACAGTGATACAAAGCTCCCCGACTGTAAACGTGTAGACTACTGAAGGCAGACTGAACTGATTTGCGCATAGGGTTATAAAGTGTGAAACCCCACAACAGTGTTAACAGATTATTGCGCATAGGGTTATAAAGTGTGAAACCCCGCAACAGTGTTAACAGATTAATGCGATTAGGGTTATAAAGTGTGAAACCCCGCAACTGTGTGATAATTAATTGTAGCCGATAATTGTAGATTGTTGAATAAACCAATTAACGATCTCTACGGCATATTCAGTAACCGGAAACACGTTACAATATATATACTTGTTTTATTTCTGTACACCCAAAATTTATTGAGGTTTATCTAATATGTTCCTACCTGTATCATTGTGTTGTCTTGTTGTTTCCTTTTTGCTGTGTTTTGAGGCACTGGTTTGACATGTGTTGTGTGGCACATTTATACCCTTGTTCACTGTGACGCTCTTGTTCGCATGTACTTGTGTCTTATTGCAGTGTCAAACACACTATTCTGGTTATCATTTTCTTTTATGCTCTTTTGTTCTTCTATTAATTCATTAAGTTGTTTGAGCTCTTTTGTTCTTCTGTTAATTCATTAAGTTGTTTGAATTGATAAATATGGTAATTTTTCTTTATATTCATGATATTGCCTTTTATAGCATATTCAGTCTTTTCCATAATTTGTTCTGTATTGGTGACCTTTGTCTACTATGTTTTGGGCTAAGGCTGGTTCTTTACTGAACCTAATGTTTCTTATGTGTTCTTTGTATGTTGTTAAATTTCAACAAATGGGTCGAACACCCCAGTATTCCATTTTCACAGAAGAGGCACAAGGGCACAAACCATATCGGTTCAAGATCTTAGATATTAAACATTAATAAAATTTTAATCCAAGTAATTATAAGTAACTTTTATATAAAACTTCGAAGTATGTATTACAAAATTTGTAATTGTATTTTCTGAAGATGTTGAGCTCTTGTCTTCTGAAGATGGTCAGCTGACCGATACATGTAAAGGCAAATAAATATCTACAAATTGAATCACACTGGGCAGTGTTTATTATTATTCTCTAATTTATAACATATACATTTCAGTCAATAAATAGCAGAGAAGTCAGTAATACAGCTGCATCTGAGACCTTCATATGATGATGTGCACTGATTTGTTTAATTTCCATGTGATTAAAACATGAATTTTAACTACAAATTTCCATTCTTAATTTTTATTTTATTTTTACTTAGTGTGTCATTCAAGAAGGGAATAATACAGTTTGCTAACTTACCGCAACATGTGGATGTGCCTAATGACGGTTGTGTGTTGCTGAAACATGTGGTGGCAGCATAAACAAGTGAACATAATAGCCATCAGAACAGTAAACAAAGAGTTTTAAAAATTATGCTGAAATATAATGAATTAATTAATCAATGCAACAAGATACTCAAATAAGTATAATAATATGATAAAAACAAATGTTGATGCATTAGTATCTATTTTTGGCTTTATTTTGTAGATATTGTTGTGTAGATGGCCCCATTTGCACTATTTTAAGATACTCAGATATAATACTATGAAGCTTATATTCACTCATGCATACTTATTCTTCTTCAGAATGCTTCCTTGTTAAGATTACTGCCAGCTGGTACTGTAGGTCATCTTAAGGATGATTCTGAAATACATAACATGTTTCAGCTTTAGAAGGTAATATTAAGTTGTAACAAAATTATTCCAAATATATATTTAGTATACAATATCAAATTGATTTTGTGAAAGTCAACCGGAGAAATTTCAGATGCTGTCATTCGCATAATTAGTTCAGTAAGGGTATACTTTGATAATCCTACTTCTTCTCCCTCTTCTTCAGATGCTTCCCTTTTATGTGGGTCATCAAGGTAACCAAGCTTCTTCATCTGTCTGTTTTCCAAGATTCTACTCAGTTTCTTCCCATGTCCTTCCTTCCATTATTACTTTGTTACCTCTTACTAATGCATTTCAGTCTTCCCATTCCTTCTGAGACCCAAGAATCCTGTCACCTATGTTATGTCCTTATTTCATGGTTGGTTTTGTCTTTAATACATCCTCTGCAAATACTCGTAGCTGGGCATGTAAATGTGTGTCATTCTTTATATCTCAACAGATCAGTTGAAGGCAGACCATCACAGGAACCAGAGAAGGCACCGAAAAAATCAGTTATGAAAGAACCCTCTTTTGCAGTGTCCTCTACTGGCAGAGCTCTCCCACCAAAGAAAAGGAAAGCTTCGTCAGAAGAGCTATCAGTACATGTAAGATTAAGCTTGCTTATTTACCTCATTATCTCGTCAGTCCCTTACTACTAAAGTGTGTCGAAATTTTGCAAATGGCTTGGCACTTTTGTTGATTGTTTGCTTCAGTTTTGGTCAATTTCTTCTTATTGTCTCACCCAGTGTGTTGTGTATACTATCTTTTAATGTTTGTTTGGGTCTCTGTCCCCACATACCATAATTCTTTAGGGTGTCCTTGTTTTTCATTGGCTATGTGTGCCCAAAACATTTGAGTTGTGTAAAAGGTAAAGTTGTCCCTGTAAATGGCCATGAACGCCCATAGGGTTGTGAGAGGTTGAGGCTCCCACATCCTCTAGACCAGTGGTTTCCAAACTGTGCGCCGCGGCGCTCTAGGGCGCCATGAAATATTTTTGGGGCACTTCGAAATATTCAAATATTTTCACTGAAATGACACTGAGCCCATGTGGTTTTAGAATCGGACCATCGATGTGTTGATGAGATGATAAGATGGACACTAACGGACACTGTAGAAACCACTAAATGTTTTGCTTTCAATAGCAAAACTAGATGGCGCTCGATGTCAGAATTTTAATATAGTCTATTAAACTCTGGATTGTTCTAGTCACTGCAGTGCAGAAGACAGTTGTTACTCAGCCCGCTGAGCGAAAAGACGTGAGTGTCGCTCAGTGCATCAGTGTGAATATAGTGACTGGATTGTTCTAGTTATTTATCAAACTTTCTCGGTACTTGGTGTTTGTATATTAATTGCTGTCTCCGTGCCCTTGATTTATTGAAGATCGAATCAACCTAATGGTGTTGTGATCAAGTAAACTTTTAAAAGTTGTTGTTCTTATCGTCCTAAAAATGGAGAAGTTTTTATTGAACATTAATAAGCATTGTAAGAGTGAAAATAAAGAGGACGCACCACAAACTAGTGGCGGGGGTGTGACGAAGCGGAAATGTCGTAAATATGATGATAGTTATTTGGATTTTGGCTTTCATCGACAGATGTCAACGATGAAGAGAGACCACAGTGTGTACTGTGTCACCAGAGTGCACCAGAGTGCATGCTTCCAAGTAAGCTAAAACACCATTTGGAAACCAATCATTGAAACATGGAAGGTAAACCTTGCCACTTCTTTACCAGAAAGTTAAAAGAATTAAAACAACAAAAAGGTACTTTTTCTCAGCAGGTGTGAATACCAAGCAATGCTTTACTAGCATCATACAAGGTTGCATATAGAGTCGCGAAGTGTAAAAGGCCCCATACCATCGCAGAACAACTAATTCTACCGGCTGCTGTAGATTTGGTGAACATTATGATCGGCGAGTCTGCGGGGAAACTGCTTTCAAAGTTGCCTTTGTCTAACAATACTATCAGTCGCAGAATCCAGCACATGGCGGAGGATCTCAATGATCAATTAATTGAAAAAATAAAAGGGAAGGAATTTGGGTTGCAGCTGGATGAGGCCGCGGACAGTAATAAGGATGCACATTTGATTTGCTATGTACGGTTCGTGGATGGTAATGACGTTGTGGAAGACCTTTTTTGTAAAAGTATCACTGCAAGTACAAAGGCTCAAGACTTGTTCGAGATCCTGGACACATTTATGGTTGAAAATAATTTGGAGTGGACAAAGTGCGTTGGTGTGTGTACTGATGGTGGTCGTTCGATGTCCGGCCGTTATGGAGGATTGCAGGTGCTTATTCGAAGCAAAGCTCCGGATTCACTGTGGACCCATTGCATCATTCACAGAGAAGCTCTCGCGTCAAAATATGTGAGTCCTCCACTGACTGTGGTCTTGGAATCTATGGTGAATGTGGTGAACTTTATAAAAACTCGGCCAGTGAAAGCAAGGTTTTTCAAAAAATTGTGTGAGGATATGGGAGCCAAATACACATGTTTGTTGTACTACTGCCCCTCGTGATAGCTCTCTCGTGGCAATGTATTGTCCCATACGTTTGAATTACGGCAGGAAATGTACACTTTTCTTGAAGAGGAAAAACATGAGTATGACAAACACTTCATGGAAACAGATTTTTTGGTAAAACTAACATACTTGTGTGATATCTTTGAAAAGTTAAATGCGTTGAATCTCTCCCTGCAGGGAGGCAACATGCACATTTTGAAATTGGTAGAGAAGATTTCAGCTTTCAGAAAAAAATTACAGCTATGGAGAAGAAAAATGAATGAAGATGGTGGCAAAGATTGCTTCCCCTTGTTGCAGCAGTTTGTGATCTCCAATGAAGTTGATTTCTCTCATAACGTAAAATCTGTTTTTGAAGAGCACCTATCACAGCTTATCAACTGGTTTGAAAAATACTTTCAAGAAGATAATATCGACAAGTTCGCATGGATTCAAGACCCATTCAGGGCCAAAGCTCCATCTGAATTTACTTCTGTAGAAGAAGAAAATCTTATTGAGCTGTCTTGCGACAATACACTGAAGACAAAATTTGGCAGCATGGAACTAACTGACTTTTGGATATCAGTAAAAGATGAATATCCACTGCTAAGTGGTAAAGCTCAGCGAATCTTAATTCCATTTGCGACGTCATATTTGTGCGAAGCTGGGTTTTCGGCGGTCGCTGTCATAAAATGCAAGTATCGTGCGAAAATCAAGGTGGAACAGGAAATGAAGGTGGCTGTGTCCAGTTTGATCCCAAGATTTGAGAAGATGTGCAGTGAACAACAAGCTCATCCATCTCACTAATTATGATTTATTTATTCAATGATATGATTGTTCAAAATGAGTACTTATTTAATACTTTTTACATAAATTGTTTGTGAATTTGAAATACGTGATTCATTTATTTTTTTAACTTAACCAACCTAACCGCACCAACTGCGCACTGCAACTGTTAGGTAGGCCTATGTTCTGACTTTGGGCGCCGTGGAAAAATCCTGATACACTTAAGGGCGCCGTGAACCGAAAAAGTTTGGGAACCACTGCTCTAGACAGTTGGCTCACAGATGGCAGCAAGGTTGTCAGCCTTATGCACCGGCCGCCCTTTACCCTACTGGAATCTTCTTGATACTCATTTCTGTTAGAGGCTGAGTCAATCCCAGGGCCATAGCGTGGCTTGAAGGATTAGGTAAATTGAAAAAATTGAGTGAATTTGTCGGGAACTGAACTCACACCCTTCCAGCTTGTAGCATAGTGTCTCAACCAACTACACTACCACATGCCCCTCTGAGTTGTGTATTTAATGTTATTTCTGTGAATTAATTAACATAAAAATAATTATTTCCACTTTAATAACCCAGTTGTCTTTTCTGTTTGGGGTCTCTTTATCACCATATTCACACATACAGTTCAGTGTTGGTATAATTTAATTATTAAATTAATGAGTTCTTTTTCCAATGGGTACTTGTAATGTGCAACACTGAAGTTAAGGAATAGTAATATAAGGTGTGACAATACTTATTCTTTTTTTAATTTGGGTGGTATGTGCATGTTGATGCATTTTCTTGCATTGAAATGGTAAAATGATCCTTTGATCACTGGTACAACTTGCTGTGAAATTGTTATCTTTTTATTTATCATTGATACCTCAGCTGGTATGCCAGCCAGTCTTGACAAAATCACAAGTCAATGAGCATGGATTCCAAACATTAATTGCCTGTGTTCAACATTTATTCTGTCACTATATAGAACAGCTGATCATAATTTGCCTATGTTCAAAATTTCAACACTCTTGAAAAAGTCTTCCTTTCATGATCTGCTGACTTTGCAGAGACATGTTACCTCAAGGTTCAGATTCAGCTGCAAGCACCTCCCATTGTTGGCTTATTTCTTATGTTTTGTGCAGAGCGCACAAAAAGAAAGTATTCTGGCATCTCACTGACTTTTTCTGATATGTATGAAAAACACCAAGCAAGTCATGGTTTGTTACAGATGGAGAAACGAATACGGACAGATGGCCCACAGGCTCTGCTCAAAAAGGTGGACTTGGATCATTTGTTAGATTTTGTTCATGGAGAAAAACCTGGGTAAAACTAGCACTTGACAGTTGACAGCTGTGGTCATTGGCACGTCAGTAAAAGCTCTTTTATTGTATTTATATTCGCGTGCATTTTGTATTGTCCAAGAGTATCTTTTCCCAGTTCTGTACAGTTTGTATAAAATGTTTGTTTTACATGGTAGTGCTTATATTGTAGGTGTCCAAAGAATTCCTCACCACAGTTGTACATAATAATATGTGGTATTGCAATCATTGATAAGTACATTTCAAACCACACATTTTAAGACAGTGTACATTAAATTATTATGCAGTTATTTGTAAGTAATAAAGTGTTTTTTATGAAATGCTGTCATTTGCTTGTTCCTTTGCTTTAGTCTAACGTATACAGGAAGACCTGTCTCCATTTGAACTCCAAGGGGCCAGCATTTTTATACACTGTAGGCATGTTTCTGTGTAATTTAGGTACTTACAGCGCAATTGAAGACTTCTTATAGATGCATACCTCATATATTTAATCATGTTGCATAAATGGATGGTGCATTTTAACTACATTACAAGTTCTTTAGTGTTTCCAGTAGTTCAGTAAAGTGTTCTGCATGCAGTTTGTTAATGCAAGATGTTTCTTCCAATCAGTATTTGTACCCTACCAATTGTACCAGATAATTCACAATTATTTTAATTTTCATGAAAGGATCTGGAGATCCTTAATGTTTTTAGAGAGTTGCGATAAAATTTCAGGTTGCATTTCAGCTGCAATTTTTTAGAAGTTCCATGCTCTTTGTCACCTTCCACTCTGCTACTGGCTTGTTGATGCTGCTCAATGAATTCATCTGTTTCCTCAGTAGCAGCTACAGTATCAGTGTTAGCATGAAAGTTCAGGTAAGTATCTGCTGTAACATGTTTCATTCTCACTGAGATCACTCATAGAGAATTTGGCTCTGTAGAAGCTGCTGAACTGTTCCTGGTGTCATTTGTTTAATTGCTTCTGCCAACCAAATTATAGCATCAAGCACAAAAAGAGTTAACAGGTTCAGTGACAGAAGATATCCCTTCCATATTGGCTAGAAGCAAGTGTGTGTGGATTCTACAATAGGCCAGCTTCACCCACAGAGATATTGGGTTTTTGGACATTATCCATCGTCCTGGTTTTTAAGATAACTAAAAAAAAACACAACGTTTTAGAAACTGGATCTGTTTCCATCCTCGGGTGAGGTAAAACACCTATTCTGTTGGGTCCCTTAGAAAGAGCTAGCCTCAATCACTGGGACCCAAAAGAATAGGTGTTTTACCTCACCCGAGGATGGAAACAGATCCAGTTTCTAAAACGTTGTGTTTTTTTTTAGTTATCTTAAAAACCAGGACGATGGACAATGTCCAAAAACCCAATATCTTTGTGTGTTATGCACCATCGTCAGAATCCTATAGTAACTGCCAGCTTCACCCACTTTAGAACACCTTGGTCCTTGAATGGAGTTAACATTTGTGGAGTTGGGTGCAACCATACAAGCCATACACTGGACAGTTCATTGCGCGAATGACATGTTACACTGTCCATGAACAAGAGAATTTTGCAGTTAATGTTGTTTCATCCTCCAACTAAATTCTGTCAGCCATTCCCCCCATGATGTAAGATGTCATCTACACTTTGTATTAGACATCCAGACAACAGAGGCCTTATGTCATTCTCATAACATCATGGTTTAGCAGCCCTCCGTGTAACCAAATGTTTTTAGTCTGTCCACTAATAAAAGTGTGGAGTAAACAGTTAACCTTTCTTTTTATGTTTTACACCAAAACATCCTATGCCTTTTAAACAGAGAATTTTGCTAGGTAACAAATGAAAGACAGTCTCATTTTGTCACCATTTGCAATATCCAATGGGTGATGTTTACCCATTACTCAAGACAATTTGGCAGCCAAGTCTGCTGCAGTTTCTACACAAACACATTCAGCTTCACCATAGATTTTATTATAAAAATTTGTTCTCTCTCTGAAGATTTGTAAATATATTGTAGCGTGTCTTGAGTTCAAGTCGGTCACGTGTATAAGTTCGATCCCACTTCTGACACCAATGTCACGTATTGGGTGTATAACGCGACAAATAGATTCACGTAGGCCTCAAATTAAGTAGAACCTTTATTGTTCGTCCGCTTACACAATCACGAGTACAACTACTATTCACTGTGGCACCTCAACTGTCTTCTGCGACGGATGTTCCTAGACTTTCTTCTCCGAAGGCTGATCCGAGACTGACTTCTAAGATGGCTATTCCGAGACTGAAGACTTCTCGTCGAAACTGGGCTTTTATAACCCCGGCCGCTGTTATGCAACGAACCCTTTGTTATAACCATGGAGACTCCTGTTAGAACTACAATGGAGCAATTGTTGTTTCCAATGCAACGGTCTATTCTAGCGTTTCTGTAGAAGTTACTCTTCTGTATTGCCGACACGTTACATTGCTCCCTTCTAAAGGTTGTTCGTCCCCGAACAGCCTAAAGGTTCTCCCTCGGTTTCGATTCCGCGGTGTTCTGCATTCGGCCTTGGTGTCCTTCGCGAGTCTTGTTGCGCTGTTCATCTTACCGCATCCTATTCTCCAGTTTCTCAGCCACTTATTTGACATCTTCCTGTACACTACATATTTGAAAACTAATGGCCTTTTTACTGCTCACAAATAGTCTTGTTGATACCTTCATTTTCAGCTTTCCTTAGCTTCCATTCAGTAGAACGTGTACTACAATTTAGCAACAGTTTCTTTATTTTATATTTTGTACAAAATTTGTACACAAGGTATTCAAATATGATAAAATTTATGCAGATATATGATTATCATCACAATCATAAATTAATACAAAAGACCTATTCGTAATATAGAAGTTTGATGTAATTGTCTCGATCTACAAATACTTAATTTAACAGTCCAAATATAGATTTCATCAGGAATCACCAGCTTCTCACTTCTCACAATTGCAACTATCCTTCTGTGTCCACAGAGCTTTTCCCTAACAACAGCTGTTGTACTGTTGCCTATTTACACAGCTGTTACTTGGCAATGGGCCTACATGTCACATTATTATTGTTACACTTATTGTTTGCAGTTGTGGTAGTGGGGATGGTAGTAGTATAGCAGTAGTAATAGTAGCAGTGAATTTAAAAGAAGAACATACAAATTAAGTACAAATTCTGCCTGTGTTAAAATACAATTTATGTGAACGTTTACAATAAATCCCATAAAATTTCATAATCTTAGTTCTCATGGTCAAGCTGTCAGACTCAAAGGTAAATGGAAATTTATATTGTTTTATAGTTACATTGCACAAAAGGTTGCCTTAACAGAAGTTGTATGTTACTTGAAGAAATATTAACACTAATAAATTCAGGAACCTGTATTAACCTGAATGTTGCTGCTAATTTCACTACCACCTTATAACTTCGTGCATTCTCCATTTTTTGTTGCTCGTGGGGTGGGACTAAGTCCCTTGTACTGCAGCCACTTCTGCCCTGTTATACCAGCCCCAGATGATAGGCGAGGGTGACTGTGGAGCAATTGATGGAATAAAGATTGGCAGGGGAAACCGAAGTACTCGGAGAAATCCTGCTCCAGCGCCACTTTGTCCACCACAAATCCCACTTGACCAGACCCGGGATCGAACCCAGGCCGCCGCGGTGGGAAGTGCATTCTCCATACTGTCATTACTGATTGCGAGACATTTAAGCGTACTAGGTTAGGTGGCTTCCAGTGACATCCTGTTTATACTGAATTCCTAGAGAGCAAGTCAATTGCTGTGGCATGCGATAGCATATTTGGTTGAGGCAATATACTACAAGCCAAAAGGCCGCGGGTTCGATTCCCGATGAGGTCATTGGATTTTTTCGATTAATCGTTCCAGCCGCACTATGGCCCTGGGGTCGACTCAGCCTCTAACAGAAATGAGTACCAGGAGCCTTTCTGGGGGTGAAGGGCGGCTGGAGCATAAGGCTGACAACCTCTCCACCTTCTGTGAGCCGATTGTCTAGAAAATGTGGGAACCTCGACACCTCACAACCCTATGGGCTCCACAGCCTGTTAAAGGGATAGCGTTACTATTTTCTACTTTTTTACAATCATTTGCTTCTAAAGTTGAAGGCAGACGCATACAATTTGGTGGTTTCGTGCATATAATCCTAAGGAAACCAGGATCAGGACGATTAATTAAGAGGTGTCACAACACCAAACCCCGAAATCATTGATATATTGAGTTTCTGGACTTTATCCATCGTCCTGGTTTTTAAGATAACAAATAAAAACACGACGTTTCGGAAACTGGATCTGTTTCCGTCCTCAGGTGAAGGAAAGGGGAACACCTATTCTGTTGGGTCTGTTAGAAAGAGCTAGCCTCAATCACTGGACAAACCAGTGTCACAAAACATGAAGATTATAAACACCTGAGACCAGGCTAAGTCCATGAGAGCTAATAAGAAAAATATTATAATCTTCATGTTTTGTGACATTGGTTTGTCCAGTGATTGAGGCTAGCTCTTTCTAACTGACCCAGCAGAATAGGTGTTTCCCTTTTCCTTCACCTGAGGACAGAAACAGATCCAGTTTCCGAAACGTCGTGTTTTTATTTGTTATCTTAAAAACCAGGACGATGGATAAAGTCCAGAAACCCAATATATCAGTGTGTTATACACCATCGTCAGAATCCTATAGTAACTACCCGAAATCATTACTTGGTATGATGATACATCATCATGATCATCATCAAGCAGAGCTGATAGGCTTGGCATTAGGGCCACACATCAAATGAGTGCCCTATTTGAATCTCGACCAGGGACTTGCTTACGTGGCAGTGGTATTCGTGCTTTTCGGCAGTCCATCCGGGAGAATGCTGGAATACGAGTAGTTCCTTCACATATGTCGCATTGACTTCCTCCCATATCCCTTGAGGTTCATCGTCCGCAGTCTTCATACCACACATAATTAACTTCTAACAGTTGAAATAGCCAAGCCGATACAACAGACTTGACTCAGCAGCAAACCCCTACTTTACGTAAGAAATTAAACGTGTTCAAATCTAACTTATTCTGATTGGGGGTTTTCGTGGTTTCCTCAGTTCCTCCAAGTACTAGGGCAGCCATGACCAGTTTTCTGTTTCCCGCCGAAAATTGTTTTCTTCGTGTTACAACTCGACTCGACCCCTGGCCTCCTATAGACCTGTTTCAGACTGTGTCTAATCCTTATTAAGGCAGATAGTAGGTAATAGGATTCTTTGCATGGAGGGTCAGACCATCGAAATTCTCCACCGTGACAGGATAACACACATACACAGAACAAATACCCAAGCATCGAGCAGAATTTTAACCCACGATCCGAGCTTTTGAGCGGCAAAACACATGGAGCACCCCAGTTTCCGCAGTCAGCATAATCATTTCTTATCGCCTTGCCACTTTTAAATAAACGCTGCAGTTAACATACCATCATTATATGAATCACGAAGTAGTTTATACATGCAGGAACAAAAGAATTGGTAGGGTAAATCGAAATATTCGGAGAAACCCAGCCCCAGTACAACTTTTTCCACCACAAATCCCAAATGACCTTACCTGGGATCAAAGCTTGATCGGCGACTAACCGCCTGAGCTATGACACGAACGCCGGGAATGTGATGAGTTATACTGTTGTACAATGACGATAAGGAGGGGGAAAGTAGTTTTGGGTTGGAGGAGTTGAACGGAACTAACAAAACATGGTTTCCATTTATTTAAGATAATTTCAAAGGTTCGCGTTATGCAGTGTTCTTTTTCATCCTACAAAACTGATCTATAAACCACTCAACTAGATTTTGTCACTTCTTACCATATCTCCGAGAAATTCAGACACTTTGAGAACCGTTTCAATGTCGGAACTACTTTAAAAACCAAACATACGCAGTGGGACATTGATGAAAACTGGACCTGGTAGAGATGCCCAGCAGACGAAGCAGTGTGTATACAATATCACATGTGATTGTGGCGCATGTTAGATCGACGAAACAAGCAGACCTTTAGAAGTACGCATTAAGGAGCACAAATATAACCTGATCCAAGGCCTGTTGGAAGAAACAAAATTAGCCCAACATGCGTATGAAGAAGGCCACAAAATATGTTTGGAAGAAGCGAAGGGCTTTCAGATTGAACCAAACACCACATACAGGAAATACAAAGAATCTGCCCAAATGTCTCTGATAGATCATCCGATCTGTTAGCCCAGCTCAGACAACTCTCCCATCTGGACTCCCATTATCGCAGCAGAAGCCAGAGAACTACAACTCCGTCCAGTGTACATTATGTGTGAAAATTGTGTTTTTATGTTGGTACCATGCAGAGAATGCAGATGATTTCTGTTCTTATAGTACGCTGATTTTAGCAACAATAGCCGTGAAATAATGCATGGACATATTTGCAAGGCCTCGTGTGTGGAATTCTTTTATGTTTTTAATGCTTGTCTTAACTCTCTCAGATGGTTTATGCTCTGCTTGGTTTATATAACCTGTCTTGTGTTGGTACTGGTGTCTGGAGGTAAGAAGTAGCTCTATCGATTGGGCCCAACAGTAGATTTCACCTGAAGACGGAGACAGAATCGTGTATCCGAAACGTTGGGTTTTAAATAAAAACAAGACGATGGATAACGTCCAGAAACATTAAAGTTACATTAATATACTATCGTCACAAATTTTAGATCTTGTTCACGTAGTAAATGTTGCTTCAAAATATAATCGCATTCGAGATTTGCCTATGGAGGGCCATTAGAACTGAATTGTAATTTCGATGCTGTCGATGATCACCCTGAAAACTAACCCTGACCTTTCTACATAGCATTCCTTTTCATATGTCCAGAGCTCATTCCCTTCATGTCGTTTTTGTGACGCCACTCTTTTGTAAGCCACCAATCATGTATTAGGTTGCGGTAAATTGTATTTTTGTATAGGCACTAACATTTTTTTAAGTATTCCTAACAGAAATCATAGCGAAAATACTGAAAAAAAATGTTTGCCTCTAGAGGGCTTTATTGATCTGGGAACTTTGACTAAGGGAGGGAAAGTGAAGAGTAGTGGGGGTTTAGAGCTGTCACGCGCATGTGAGCGATACTGTAGCTGGGGGGTGATTATACAATGGCACCCATTACTGCCACCAAGAGTTACTCCGAAAATTGTTTTGAAAGCAAAAGTTTCTGCCACCTGTGAGGTTAGGATGGTGAACACTTTGTAACTTGATCACCTTTTGTGTGTGAGGGTTTGGGAAGGGACGTGGCCGCGCCCCTTTTTAGTGTCCATATTAGAACGTGACGTCATAGTTATGTGGTGCTATTTGCATACGACGCAGGAATATAATCCATTTTATAAGGACGTGTGATGGATTGAAAAAGTAGGTAGGATTTAACGGGCTTTACGTGTAAGAAAACATGCACTACTTGAAATTCATTTTGTCTGTTAGGAGCAGATGAGCTGAATTATATGAAGGTCAGAAAGCTGGAATTAGCCGAATATTTCCTTCCACATATTAAGCTAGGTCAGGACAAAATGTCAGTATTCATGTCCTGGCTATGTACAATCTGGAAATATTATTTCAGAGGAAGGTTAATTTCTTGGTTTATGGTAGAGACAGATTCGGCCTTTGAATCTAATTTTAGGGATAATAAAACAAAAGATTCCATGGCCACTAAATCTGCGTTGTTTGTGTGGTAAAGTTCCAGGAAGAAGCTAGTGATATTAGAAAAGTCCGAAGGTCTTCGCTACGTGTTCGTCTTATGTCTCTGAGCGGAAGCGAAAATAGACGAACGGAACGCAAGGGCTAGTTTTCAGTGGTAGATGAGAAATAAGGACGATTTGCTATGGCTGATATTTTATTTATGTTTATAGTTCATTTATCGACGCTGTCAGTAGCTTAGACCGTAGCGTCGAATGGTGAAATGACTAACGAAAAACGTGAAAGAAAGCGACCTTGGCTTAATCTGAGGCACTATCTCGACAATTTCTCTAGGAACTAAGGAAGACCACTGAAATCCTCAGGCAGGATATCTGGCCTGCAGACACAAATTTGAAGGCGGGACCTCCAGAATGCGTAGCAGGAGTGCCAAGTACTAGACAACGACGTCCGTTCCGTGTCTGGTGGGCGATTTGTCTCTGTGGGAACAACAGTGAAAACACAATCCCTTTCTCAAAGGAGAAGGAGAAATTGTTTACTTTCAGCAACTTCGAGCTCTTCTTGTGTTCCTCCTGGCGTTTCTGTATATGCAGTCTCTTTAAGAATGCAAAGTCCATTATTTCTAACCCCTCTGACTCTTGGCGGGCTTCTTGAATTTAAACAATCCTTTTCAGCAACCAATGCACTTAAGAAAATGTTCTGGAAAATTGACCAATAAACTCTAGATTTCGTTGTCCTCATACAATACATCAGCTATTCTGTCAGAACAAATGTCGCTTATTCACGAAGTAATATTAATTTCCTAAGGAATTTTTTCAGAAAACATTTTTAATCTTGTCCTGTACATTTCATTTCAAATCAGGCACGAAGTCTCTCAATCAGTAAACCCCTTTCGTAATTGAATNTTCGATGAGTGTAGCCCAATATTTCCTTTAGTTTTTGTAGGATAGCAGTGAGGAAGCTGGTTCAAGCGGCAACGCTTCTCAGTTCTATTGGGGAAGTACCTAGTTGGAATGTCGATTGGGACACCGACTATCCCGACTGATGTTTTTCGTGGTTTTCCTCAGTCTCTGCAGGAAATGCTGTTTTTCTATTTTTATTTTATTTTTTTGTTAGTGGGGTGGGACTAAGTCCCTTGTACTGCGGCCACTTCTGGCCTATCATACCAGCCCCAGATGATAGGTGAGGGTGATTGTGAAGCAATTGATGGAATGAAGATTGGCAGGGGAAACCGAAGTACTCGGATAAAACCTGCCCCAGCGCCACTTTGTCCACCACAAATCCCACTTGACCAGACCCGGGATGGAACCCGGTCCTCCGCGGTGGGAAGCCAGCGACTAACCGCTTGAGCTATGGCGCGACCTAAATGCTGGGTTAGTACCTTAAGTAGGCGACTACCCCTTCTTGCGCAGCCGGCGCGTAAGGCTGACAACCTTACCGCCATTTTTGAGCCGATTGTCTAGATAATGTGGGACCCTCAACGTCTCACAACCCTTTGGACCTTCACGGCCTGGTACAGGGATAGCTTTACTTACTTTTACTTTAAGTGAAGCTATTAAGTTGCACCAAAGAATCAGTGTTGCGAAACAGAAGTCAGTGACTGGGGCCCCTTTCTGCAACATACGAGACTTTTCAATGATCATTCTAACTCACTTCCCTTGTGAGACTGAGGCCACTTTTTGCAACCAAACAAGCGTTTGCCTTCAGTTAATACAAACCCACCATCAACTCGAAAACGAAAAAGCAAGAAGATTACGGTCCCTCTCTGCAATAACACATTCAGTTGTATTCTATTTGTCTTAATCAAGGCAACAGCAACATTAAAACCTTCCTACAACTTATGCATGAACTATTTTTTTGCAAATTATCATATTAAATTACCGTTACAACGCGACAGTTTTAGGTTACATCCGAGGAATTCCCCCATACATTGAAGTTACGGACGGAAACACAGCAGTTTCATCGGCAATTTAAGAGACACCTGGAGAGGAACAATGTTGGTCGAAACATATAGTGTGCATGTACACCAGTGATGTTGAAGAGATTTTAAAGTTTAAAACTTTCAAAAGTTTTAAAAAACAAATTGCATATACGAGGACTAATAACTAACAAGGAATGAACAAGTGATTTGCAACACGATTCCACGATACAATATTACGTATAACCAAACAAATTAATGTAGAGAAAATCTGTACTTTAGTAAATGATCTTCCCATAAATCAAGTAATATTAATAATAAATATTCAGGGAAAAACAATCTGATTCGAAAAGAATTCAATCGTACGACTGTCTATGCAGAAATCCAGCACGCTAACCTGTGAGCTAAATTGCTGTCTGTTGCAAATGTGAACTTGCATGACGTGACTAAATATGAGCATAAAACATCAAAAACGGAAGGTTTGTTGGACTGAAAGTCTGTGCAGTAGGAATATAGGTTTTTACGGGCTCTGCCTGGAATTGCTTGATTAATTCTGCAATAGACCACTTGAGGGTAGTGCATGTCTGAAGTCTAGGTTATGTGAGGGAGGGGGTGGTTACTGTAATGACTCCACGTAGGAAACGGCCGTAAATGACGGCCAAGGCTAGGAGCTGCGGCAATGGTAAGGGAAGGCGAGGGGGAGAGGACAGTAGTGAAGGGAACTCCTGCTCCTGCCTGCAGACAGCGAGTAGAGCGCTCGGAAGATGCGCCAGGCGAGTGAACCAGGGACAGTCGTCAGCGGTCGGCAGGAAGATAGGTTGTGGCTGTGAGAGGGGAGCTGTGACGTGTGCAGGACATGTGGTTAGTGCTGTTATAAACACTTATAAGTGTAGACATGAAATGAATCTTCGTTTTCATATAACATGCGGAAGTGAACTTTAAGGTGTTGTTATGATTACGATTAACAATAGCGGCATTTAACTAAATAAGTTATTTTCATATTGAAATGCATGCAGGGTTAGCGTTACTGTTGCAAACTGATCATACGGGATTTATTTGCATCTAACTATAACCAGCCGAAATCATAGTTGTGGCCTCGTGAGTGTAGTACAGAACGATAAATAGGCATAATAGCGGTTACTTTATTACGATGATTTAACCGTGGTTTATAGCTGTATTAATATATATTCGTATAACGTATGGAAGTGTTGTAGATAACATTAAATGACTACGATTAAAATTAACGATTAAATTAACTTTCTGATACTATTACAATTTATCGCATACGTAATAGTGATATCGTTTACATTAATTAAATAACTGCAACAATCGATTGAAATACATTACTACAAATTATGCCGTGTAGTTTGATAGTGGATTGTGAATTTAGTTTCAAGGATTCTGTTGCTTTCGGTAAATTACCGGAACTACATTTTGAAAGCAAGTATACATCGAAATTGAAGAGATGTACCGGTTGGAACTTCATCCAGAAACTGTCACTCTTAGTTCCGCAAGGGATGGTTTAATTAGGATAAAATTACGTCTGATACTTTGTGATCGTCTATAATTAGTTTCTCAGTGTAATGCTGTAACTGCAGCCAGCGTTGTACCAAGTGTCACCTGACTATATAGTATGTATATCGTTAAGTTTATACACCGGAAACCCAACGATAGAGGTTAGCCTGTTGCTGTTAGTTGCTTTGTCGAACGAAATCAACTGCCCCATTTGTATCTCGAGTAATAGCTTGCATTTATCGCGTTGCAGCAGAAAAAATTAATTTTAAGAGTTCTTCATTCTTTCATAAAGAAAATGTGCAGGAATTCATTTTATGACGTTTAAAAGCTAACTAAGAAAAGCTACGTTTAAAAATCAGGGGTACTGTGGACTATATTTATAGACGAACAGTAGCATTGTTTGAATTCACAGATGAGCGGTATTAGACGCTTATCGCGCCTTCACAAAATTAAAAAAAAATAAATACGACACTACTTTTCTTGTTTTTATTTAGAATATTTTATGGAATATATCAATCTATAATGCCCCTCTAAACGCGACTCTCTTTTTTTTTTTTGGTAGATTTATAATTAGAATGGTAAGAGCAAAGTAATGTGAAGTCAGCTTAAAATAATTTCTCAGCATTTGATCACAAAATGTGGCTTTAGTGAAGTGGAATACCTGCTCCAATACAGGACAGGAATATACAGGAATTTTGTCTTGTGTTCTATATTCTGAAACTTCGTTGACAAGCTGCGGTGGGTACAGTTCGCTTGCGGACTAAAACCACGGAGTTTGTTCCTTTTTTTCTTCCCATTTTAATAATCTGAGAGTCTCTTGGGTTACGCTGGAATTGGAATTATTAAAGACAATGACGTACTCGATGTTGAGGATGTTAGATCTGATGTGACAATAATCTGAAAAGTGAAATGCAAGGAAACTGTTTCATTAATATATGAAAATTCATTTTTATTATAATTAACCGGAATACTAATATTGTTTGTCAAATTGAATAACCTTAACAGAGGTCCATATTTTGAATATGGAAACTAGTCCAAGTCTGGTTTTGTCATTTCCACTCGCTAGGTTTTAGAAAGACGTCTGGTAGCTTGATTGGAGGATACCCACTTGAAAACGAAAAGAATGTGACTCACTTTTGCGTTTTGGTTTTTATGTACAGTGTCCATAAAGTGAACACTTAATGTGGAAGTTATTTGCATCTCCGGGTTCCGCTATAGAAACTACTTAGGAGATTTGGGTTTGCGTGTATACAGCCCATAAAACTTGTTAGGACCATTTCTTTGACCCATATCAATCCACATAACTTATAACGAAATTAAACCCGATATAAAGCGGCTTCCGTAGTCTAGAGGTAACGTTCCCACCTCATGGGTACGCGGGTTCAAACCCGGCGGAGGTCGTGGAAATTTTAAGGGCGGAAAAATTCAGGGAACAAGTCCTCCGGGAGGGACTTTAAGCCGTGGGTCCCGTGTCGTACCTTTACGGCACGTAAAAGAACCTCATATCTCCAAATGAGGTCACTGAGCCAAATTCAAGGACGTTTCCCGCCCAACAGTTGTCTCTAACGCCTCTGATAGATGGGGGAAGCATTATAGATACCGCCAAGCCAGTAGAGGCCGAACTCGCTGGCTCGGTCGGGACTGATGGTACGCACCAATATCGGTAGGGTATAGAGACTAGTAAAATATCATAGAGGGAAGCACAATGGACCAATACTGGTCTAAGTGCACGGGGAAACCCACCCTCTCCAATAACTAACTAACTAACTAAACCCGATATAATATCAGATATACTTTATCAGTCATGGAATCTTCATAAAATATATGACATTTTATTTTTTTCACCAGTTAAAGAAATAAAAATAGAAGGTTTTATGTGTCGGTGCAATAAGAAACCCCATGTATAGGTTAACTTTCTCAATAGTGTGAAGGTGTATGATGTAATATTCACACTATCTGCACTGTCGGAAATATACTTGCATTTGCAATAACGGACATCCAAGACCAATAAGGGTGGCAAAATCGTGAAGAACATCTTTGAAAATTACTGCCTCTTCCTCTAGCGCTACCACAACAACATATTGAAACAGTTTATTTTGATTCTGGTAGAACAGCCTTGAAGAAAAATGAGCCTGCATCAAGATTTCTTATATTCGGGTCTCTTTTTCATGTGGCTGAAGAGTTAAAGTAGATCTTTGCGATACTTTTCCCCTTTTAACGGGTTTGCTCCTTCTCTTATTTTGTATATTATCCTTGCAGTAAACTGTAATTAATGTTGTAAGGCTTTGCAGTTAAACTAATCTCATCTGTCTGTTGTACTGAAGGACTGAAATAATAACGAAGCTGAAAGTATGACGTTGGCCCGATGCATTCACCTGGCTGGTTCCCCGCTCTACTGGCAACCGGACTTGAAACATACTCCACGCAACACGAAGGGAACAGGAAGAGTTTCAGCATCATATGACATTGCAGCGACAGTATCGAAACGCATCAAGGGTTTCGAAGTGGCCTAATTGTAGTTCCAATTTTCAACGAATATAGTGCAGACGTAAGAGAGGATAGAGGAGAGGAAGGTAACAGTTAAGTAATTAAGAAGTCAAATAACAAAAAGACATTTTCCAAGTTCGTGATGGCTCGGAATTGAAAAAAGAAACAACAATTCGGATGAAGTGCTGCTTTAAAGATAAGAGATTGTGTATGTGTGTGCTCTTATTTTTTTAAGTAATTATAATAAATCGCAGAACCGTGCTTCCAGTATCACGTCTTGAACGATATTAATTATCTGTCATTAGGAGGAGGGATATCTGTATCACGTTTTTGTCACTGGTGGGGAATTTAATCTCGTAATATTGTTACAAGTTTTGTGGAGTGCCTACAGCTGTTACGTTAAATAATCCGAGTTCCTCTCTGTGGTCACCCGTCATCTGTTATATAACAAGTCAAGTTCTTTGCTGCCACCTGTCTTCCAGAAGAGGAACTATTTGAATGCAGTGATGACACCATGAGTACAAGAGAGATCGTCTTGGATGGAGGATCGCCGTGGGGTTTTCGTATGCATGGTGGTGCTGATGTCGGCCAGCCCTTGAGGATATCGAGGGTGAGTCAAAGTTGAGTCAGTTCTGCATGTGCTACAGCCCTGCTTGCTGTCTGATGGGGCAGTGTTCCTCGAAACATGAATTTACTTCTTCCCTTCATGTTTCCGTATAACGTAGTCTGTACAGCCACTGGTTACGGGCTGGACGACCGAGGGGTGGGAGTTTGAGTCCCGGTAGGGTCAAGAATCTTATCTTCTCCATGTCATCCAGGCCGGCCCCGGGGTCCATCCAACCTTCTATCCAGTGGGTACTGGGGGCTTTTTCTCCGGGGGTAAAGCGTCCGGGGTGTGAAGCTGACCACTCACCTGCAGCTAGTGCCGAGGTGAAGAAAATGCTGTTCTATACATCCACAGCCCCGTGCGGTTTCATGGCCTAGTGCGTAATTGGTTAAGCAACACAGGGACAACTTTATAAAATAATCACTTCATAGATTCTGAAAATTATAAACTTAAATGAAACCGAAAGTAATGTGGATTTGGCACAGTCACGGTTGATGTAATGCCCCAACCACCTTCGAAACAAATTTATGCCTGCCTAATTCTACCTCCCTTGTTTAGTTGAGGAACGCAGAAAATGTTAGAAGGAGACTATTTCTGGCGATGAATGCTTGCAGGAAATCTGCAGCCCATTTGGTCAAAGACTGCGTCACACCTTTTGCTGTTCTGTAGTTGGCAGTTATTGACGTTCTTGGAACTTCCTTTAATGTCGCGTTGCGTTATGTATTAAACGACGCGACTTCCCCGAATTAATATATAAAGAAACGTGAACCCTACGTTCTTGAGTTCTTTTGGTGGTACGGGTAACTTGGAGCTCATTTCCTTGTGAGCTCAATAGATGCGTTTTACTTACTACAAGCTTAAGAAAGCATGTTAGCTAATGTGTATGACTAAAACAAGAACAAATCAATTCCATGGAGCAGAGGTTCTTTTTAGAAGTCATTGCTGAGGTAGGCAAGCAACTCTCCGCTTCTCATGGAACCGGGAAGTTCATTAACATTTTCACAAAAGTCCGCCATTAACCGAGGTCCTATAACATTATGTAGTGTGCTGTATATATGGTGAGTTGTGTAGTCCGAAGATGACCGCCTCTTTGGTCTAATGGTCAGAGTTCCTGTCTACAGATCCAGAGGTCCCGGTGCTACCAGTATCTCTGAGAAGTGGTGGGTCCGGAACGGGGTCCGCTCAGCCTCGTGAGGATAAATGAGGAGCTGTTTCAAGGAAATAGCGGCTCTGGCCTAGAAAACCGAGATTAACGGCCGTGGGGATCTGTTGCTCTGACCGCGCGACACCCTCGGTCGTCCGAAGTTGGGACTAACTTCGCCGACAAGCGACGGACGCTCGGTCATTATAGTTTGCTTGCGGACTAAAACCACGGAGTTAATCATTCATTTATCATACACTACCATTCGGAACTGGCTACTTAGGGCGTCGTAACGCGTCCCACAAAAAGAGAGAAGAAGAGGGCTCTAAGTGTTGAGAGAATTTATAATGCGTTACAAGCATGAGTTGAGGAAGATGATATTGTTCTATATGTCTAGAAAAGGCCATTAAGCCCACACTACAACTTAAAATCTTGCAATGTTTTCGCAAGAAAGAATGAAGTTCTTTTATTACCAGCAACGGATAGTTTAGATTGCAAATGTGGCGTGCGTCAAATTCATAAGTAATATTTCGTACGATAATCGATATCTGTCTTGTGTAGCATTGAATTATATTAGCAAGAAACACGAAATGGCGATCACGGTGTTCGCGCGAACTGATGGGCCGCTAATGCCCTGTGTGGACAGAGATATTGCAGTGGACAGATCCACTGTATGTCAAATGTCTTACAGGATTATTATGGATTGGGAAAGGCCAAAGGCCAAATTCGTGACTGCTGAATGATATGTAATAAACGAAACATGGCAGAGACTAGGCTATGAGCTGGACAACCGAGGAATCGCGGTTCTCTTCCCGGCAGGAGTAAGATAAGATTCTTTGCTCCACGGCTTTCACACAGGATCTTGTCACGCCCAGCATTCTACGTAATTCGATTCGGGAGTAAATCTGCCGGGGCATGAGCCTCAAAGTGGTACTGAGGTTATCCGTGTGTGGAGCTATACCTGTACCCCCTTATACCGAAACGTCGGTTCACACAAGATCTACACGGCGCCACATCCCAGAAGAAGGCATTCTTCGTAGTCGCCGCTGTAAGAACATCAAATCCTACATAAGATGTTATGTTTATACTATAACAAAATTATGCTATATCGAATGTTTCAAGAAAAGTTGTAGACCTTAATAAAATCTGTACTATTTTATTTAGAAACCACGTTTTAAGATAAGCAGGGTTTAAAAAGATTGATGCAGTTCTGTTTGCATTTCATGAGGCCTGTATTTGACCGTTACCAAAATTTCATACTTCCTTAAATGTTTAGCATAGAGTCCCCAGCCCTAGGAGGGTCAAATTCAATCGAAACCGTCATTTTCAGGGATTAGAAATATGAGCACAGAGACGAGTGGTCACAGCGTCCCCATAATTCATTCACTGTATGCAGTTCTTGCATAAAACGCATATACAGCGGATTTCAACTGCATCTAGAATCCCCAGTTTTAATCAGTAGGGCTATAGTAGCGTGTTCAGGAAATTCCAATGTGGAAAGAGGATATTCATACACAACTCGAGTGACAAGAACTCTTGGTAGCCAGGAACGCTGACCACTAGACCACAGAAGCGGTTCCCTTTACCTCTTCTACTATTTATATTTCCTGTACCCTAATTCATACGATCCAGTAGGAATAATTTAATTGATTGATCAGACCAATTTTGAAACGAATTAACATACAGACGTACTTATCTGTGATCATTATAATTCATATGTTATTTATAACAATATTGTTAACCGGCTTAAGAAGCGTGTGACAGAGAAAATTTGTCAATCTGGATTCAAACTCGTAATCCCAGTGCTCGAACGGTTAAAGAGCGCCTTAACCCTCGTAGCAGCTGGGTTATTTATCTTTTACAGCAGTGAAGACAAATCATGAAGCAATTCAGGGAAAGGTATGCCCTTCAGACACACGTCGGCCGGTCGCAGATCAGAAATGTGCAGAAAATAGGAAGGACGTAGCAGCGACAGCTAGACAATCGGCTCGCTGTGATTCCCGGTGCTCGAAACGGGAGGGGCAAGAAGCCAGTGGGAATCCCAGCAAGTTCAAGGGCATCGCTTAATGTACCCGACGTTACTCGTCGTGAGTTTTTTCTGTCGCATTCCTCTTTGGTCATACATCGTCGTCGCTTTACTTGCTTCTGTTCTGTCTCAGACTGTTTGGCAAGTGTGTGCGACGAAATGGCCTGACAGATGAATGGCAGTCTGCTGTCGTATCCAGTAGGTCTGTTGGAATCGTTTGTCGCGGGTAGAATGTCCGAAGAGTGAAGTATGATCTGCCACGTTCTTTAACGACGCTGCATACCGTGGACCGAGATGAGAAGATGGCTAGCATTATGTTATTATTTGTTCATAGTGCTAGCCATCTTCTCATCTCTTTCCACTGTATGCATTTGTGAAATGAAGATTGGCAGAGGAAACCGAAGTACTCTGAGAAAACCTGCCCACATTACCTGACCCGGGCCGCCGTGGTGGGAAGCCAGCGACCAACCGCCAGAGCTGTGGTACAGCCAAGCATGTGTTATGTAACATGGAAGGACTTAGTAAGCACTTTTGGCCGCCCGATAGCTCAAGCGGTTAGTCGCTGGCTTCCAACCGCGGCGGCCCGGGTTCGATCTCGGGGTCTGGTCAAGTAGGATTTGTGGTGGAGAAAGTGGCGCTGGGGCAGGTTTTCTCCGAATACTGCGGTTTCCCCTGCCAATCTTCATTCCACCAATTGCTCCACAATGACCCTCACCTATCATCTGGGGCTGGTACAATAGGCCAGAAGTGGCCGCAGTACAAGGGACTTAGCCCCACCCACTAGCAATAAAAAAAATTAGTAAGCACTTTGAAGCGTGAAATACGGCTAAGTAATATTTAAATTTATTTTTATATCCTGAGGTCTGTGACTTCTCTCGAGGTGCAGTTTTCTGATGTGCGAGTAGATTAGTCTGTAGAACCTGTTAAAAACTACCAGAAAAGCCAGGACAGCCGAGATTCAAATCGGGTACCACCCGAATACGAGGGAATCACACCTCTTGTATTATCTCCTCGATATGGCCGTTTAATCTTAGCATATACTATGTATGTCTGTGTGTGTGTGTGTTCGTGCGCGCTCAGAGATGGAACTAGAACTATGCACACAATATTGAACACATATCCCACAGTAAGGAAATATCCTTACATAATCGTAGACGAAATCATTCCTGAATTACGTCAGTCTGAAACTGAGTATGAATTGCGAAATGAAAGGGTAATTGTGTATATCTCTTACCTGGTTGGAAAGAATGTGTTGTCAGACTTGCTGTCACCGCTTGTTTCGAGTCCTTACAGACTCGCACAGGAGACGGGATAGCGTAGTAGGTATAGCGACTGGTTACGGGCTGGACGACAGAGTGATCGGAGTTCGAGTTCCCGTATGGTCAATAATTTTCTCTCCTCCACGTCGTCCAGACCGGCTCTGGGGTCCACCTAACCTCCTATTCAATGGGTACCGGTAGCTCTTTACCCCGTGGTAAAGCGGCTGGGGCGTGAAGCTGACCACTCACATCGAACTAATGCCGAGGTCAAGAAATGTGGATCTATACGTCTACTCCCCCATACGCCTTCATGGCATAGTGCTTAATTAATTAAGCACAGGGACAACGCTACATTTTTACAGACACACACAGGATGACACACCAAATGTGCTCTATATAAGATGCCTATAAAGCCTGTACTTACCTGTGGAAGTGAATGTTGACCCATAAAAATAAAAGATGAAAATGCCCTCCAAATCTTTGAAAGAAAGATATTAAGAAGAATTTATGGCCCAGTTAAGGAAAGTGGTATGTGGAGATAAGAGTGAATCCGTGAACTTTGTAAATTATATAATGA